CGAAAAATCACTTCAAATAAGAGAAAAAGCTCTGTCTCCGAATCATCTCGATTTGGCTACTTCCTACAACAACATCGGACTAGTGCATTCCAATATGGGTGACTACTCAAAAGCACTTTTATTTTTAGAGAAGTCGCTTGGTATCTCACAAATATCTCTTCCACCAACGCATCCCACAATTGAAAGTATAATGGAAACTATTGATTATATTAAAAAGAAAATGTAATTGTTTCTTTGAATTGCTGAATAAATTGGTTCGCATCGCTATTCACTTCCTTGTCTGACTTTTCTCAACTGATTATCGCGTAGGCGCGGTGTCTGTAAGTGTCCTTGTGGGTTTTATTTTGGCACACGCAGAGTGGATTATGCCAGGCTGGTAAAACATGAAAGTAGTTGGGATTTAGAGTAAAAACCGCAGGCAGAGGCATAGATGGGGAATTGAGGCGTATGGGACGTCACGCGCCCATGCTATTGATATTTTCTATGGAAATGCTCCCGTTGCTTTAAGAATTGCTTAAGGTTTGTGCCCGCTGCCCCCTTCCCAATAGGTACGAAAGTTTTTGTTATTTTTACTAGTAAGAAGGACGAAAACAGAGAGGCACTAGTGATTTACTAACACTTTGCCAAAATGTGTTAGATTGAATAAGTCTTTATCGAACGAGATATGAAGTGAAAAAATTTTTGGCTTCGCAAAAAGGTCAGTAGCTCATAATTACAACGGACGCAAAAAGTCAGATATATGACATAAGCAATGTCTTATGGTAGTTTTCATGCCTAAAGAGTTTTGCTTTTGAAATGGTTACGAGCGCGGCTGCCTTCGGCGGCAAAACGTTTTAAACAAATGTCGACGCTTTCAGTCAACGACGATTTAGTTTTCAAACGTAATAAAGCGGAAACAGAATTTTCGCCTAGTGACAAAGAAATTTTCCTTGCATAAATGGTATGAATTGCAATAACTTAATGATATTTTGAAGGCCTAAAACTGATTTCGAGGAAGTTTCCCTTAATGCTGCGTTCTATTAAGTATCATTTCAATCAAAAGCCGCTGAAATAAACGCCTTCGGTGTTAGACATACCTGGAAACTTTATTGACTCCATCAGATGGCGGCTTTCTTCTTCAAAATGAAGGGAGGTATAAAAACCAAATTTTTTTATCATAGTATAAGATTTTTCTACGTCGAGTATTTTTTGTAGCATAATGAGTAAAGGAAGATTACAGTTCTGAAAAATATTCAGATGGGTCTCTCAATCTAGAATAACTCGGTACAATTGTGTACCCCTTTTCCACTCATTCATTTTTCTATGATTATATCGTTGTATGCGTCTCTCTTCTTTTTAATCGATGCTTCTTTTCTGCTGTAGTATAGAATGAAATGTATCGTGTATACAAAATAAACATAGCAGACAACTAAACATTGACTTTTTTTTAAACACACGCTACCTCAGTCAAAAATCTTTTTGCAACCCTTTCCCCAAACGTAAAAAAATAATTCAAGAGACCACGCCAAAATTACTACGTCTCCCACCTCCGCCTTCAACGGTGAGTTACACCCCTGACGACAGGAACGTATCAATAGATATGCCTTCCGAGTACTACACTGCCTCACCATAATAGACATAAGAAATCTCTCTGGACTCAGTTATGAAGCTATCTGACAGGCTGTGATATAAGTTGGTACCTATCTCTTTCTACACAATATCATAACTAGGAGAGAAAATTTTTTTAAATATGCGGATGAGTATATGTATGTATATTGGAAAACACTATTCTATCCGAAATTGATTACACGTCTACCTTGTTGAAAACATTTCTTGGAAAGTTCTATTGACCACTAAGACTTTTCAACGTATTCATGAATGTACCATCTGAATGAAGAAAAATTGTCCTTCTTGGGGGAAAAAAGGGAGACAACAGACCCTTTTCAGCAGTGGTGGAGCCAGGATTTTTCTGTACACGGAATCCCAGTTTTAAAGCAGGAGACCCATATAAAACTTATGGAGAGTGATATTAGATCCAAATGATGAGTTTGCATCAAAGTTCATCGAGAGATTCAAAGTTTCATCTGAAAATATGCATTCGTTCAGGAGTCATAATATTTTGAAGTTTTGCTACATGCTGCTAAAATTTCAGCAGAACTTCGAACCATTAATATCCTGAGCAAATGCATACTTTCAGATGAAGTTTTAAATCTGTCGATGAAATTTGATGCAGCTTACTGTTAAGTTCTAAAAATCGAAATATCACTAACAGCAAAAGAAAAACTTTGGTGATAATCAAGAAAAAATTTTTTTCTTTGCAAACCCTGCATGCAATATTTTTGATAAAAACTCATTATTTGGATTTAATATCACTCTTCATAAGTTTCATATGGGTCCCATGTTTTAAAACTGAGATCTAGTATACAGGAAAATTCTGGCTTCGCCAGTTCATATACATAGTAGATATTTATTTGAACTGAAGCACAACATGATTTAATGTCATCATCAATTCAAAACACTTTTTTTTTAGTTTAAATATTTTACAATAAATAAAACTTGATCTATAGCATTCAAACAATTATGTTCTTATCTAACTGAAAGAGAGAAAAAGAAAACAAACTTACTGGTGAACTAGCTGATTCTAGTTTTAAATATCTAAACAAGGACAAGAGAATAAGTTAAACTAAAATAAAACAAAAAAAAGGAAACAAATATATTAATTTGTTATAATCAATACAACAAAGTCAAAATTCGATCATATAGCATGATCGACATTTATTTCAATATGTTTGACTGATAATTCACCTGATAATGAATTATTAAGATTTTCTTATCTTTGATTAAATCTAACTTGTTGTTTTTTTACACAATACAATGTTGAACATATCATTCTTTAAAATCAATGAATAAGGTTGAGTGTTTGATGAAGCTCTACGTCAATTAGCTATTACAAGGTAGACTCGATTGTAAAATCTATTCTTGCATATGTTTTTTCAATGCATCATTGTTTTCTTCTAATTCATTTCATCAATATTGTTGGCAATACCATACTTTAAATATATAAACTGATACAACATCAGTTTTATCTTGTTATGATACTGTAGCTGTAAATTATATTAAAGTTATTGAATGATGCTTTAACTTTTCTGATTTCAGCATTACACGATTTGTTCATTAAACTAAATTAAATATGTTTTCTTTCTGTTAAAACTTTTAACACAAAACAAATCTCTTCCTATTATCTTTGACATCGATGTCATATGTAGTTATTTTATAACGTCTTTCTTTTAATCATGTTGTTCTTTGTACATCACATCTTTCAATAATATAAGCACTTTCTATTGAATCCAATCGTATATGTACTGTTTATCCTGTAATAGCTTTAATCCACAAACAAGAAAAGAATAATTTGAAATGTAAGTTAATTCTTGTATAAGAAAATTATATTGATTTGATGAAACGTTCCTTTTTACTAGAATTCAATCAACTTTAAGTAAGTCACGACATTCGATTATATAAAATGAATCATCACTTGAATCCCTTGATAATGATGGCCCTTATGATGGAGATATTGATATTGAATTTATAGTTACTGTTTGTAATGGTTTATTAGGTATACATGGTAGTTCTAAAGAAACAAAAAAGGTATCATTTTATTTTATTTATAATTAAAAGATATGAATTATCTAATTCTAAAAAATATTCTATTAATGGACTATGACCATCATTACCTGACATTTCCTGTTGTAATGTTACTAACTGATTGTTCTAATTTTAAAGATTGACATTCAGACCTTTTAGAATATACTTCTATTAAATGAGAGAACTTTCAACAAAAATTTTTTTTATGAATAATTTACTTCAACTCACATTGGTGTTGATATATTATGTTTTTTGAGTAAAATAACCTTTAAAATTGTACCATCTTCACTTCATGGTAGTGGCCATAAATATTCAATTGAATTTGATGAAACAATTTTTGTTCATAATGATTATCCTTGTGGTATATCTGGACGTGTATATGAGACTTTATCAATAATCGAATCAATTATTATTAATGTTGGTAAAATTCTAACACAAGGCTCTGCATATATGTGAAAATGATGTGCAACATCTTCAGTGAACCGTGGATGAGTGATCGATGATCAGAGAAGGCTTTTTGTCTTATTCATTTCAATATTTTGCACAACATTTCTTTTTTCTTTTCTTTCGTATAGCACTAATGCGTATTTGGCATTCATTTTTTATTCGATTATTATTATTACTTTTATCAAGTTCCTCTTATGCAATTTGATAAACTTCGACATATTCATAGTGATTATTTCCAAAAGTTAGAACTTGATCAGTTTATTGAAAAAGTTTTGAAAATAACGATGAGGAATAGATGATTGAGAAAAAAAGATTTTTTCTTTTTGTAGATATGGACTTGATTCTTCAAATCACTGTTGTTGTCGATAGATTATTATTCCATTTGAATGCAATGAATTTTGCATATGTGCAGTTCATATATATGGGCGCTTTATTAGGTATCAATTGTAGGTTAAATTAATGTTGACTAAGTATCATAATGACTAGAAGATAATTCTTTAGACTAGTTGATATGATAATGATGACACTGAATCAGATCTGTGATAAAAAAAAGATCTGATTTTTCATCAGATTACATCCGATAGTCTGTAGTATATTAGAAAAAAAATATTTAGATCAATCTATTGATCTATTTAGTTTTTTTTTACGAGACAATTACGGCATATCGTTTTTCATTCTTTCAAAAGTATTCAACTACTCATTTTGCTCACTGTAGTATTAGCCTAGTTTTATTGCTCAATATATCCTTAGAAAGAAAAGTATAAATTGTGCGCATTCAAGAAAGCAAAAATTATTTTAACAATATGATTTATAGGAAATCTTTTTCTTTTCAGAAAACTAGTACATTTGAAATCAAAACGAATTATTTTACCTATTTTATTTACTAGTGTTACCCTATAAATATCAAAAGTGAAAAGCTTATAGAAGATGAAGTTTAGAACAACGTGCTATATTCTTGCTATTTATAGAATAAAAGACGTCAACAGCTTAATACATATAACTCATTTTGATTTGAAACAGTTATAACAGTTTCTTCCAAATGAGAAATTTTAAATTACTTCTAGTCCCAATAAATCTATCATTAGTTTTTGGACATAAACATTTTATTACTATAAAACTTATCATATTATCTTTCAAAATAACACAACCTTACGAAAAGGGTATAGTTGAAGACAAGATCCACAGCCACACCCAAATGTTAAATTTCTCTGTAACATACACGCTATCCATAAAAAAAAGCTTCTATATTTCGAAGAGACTTTGTTGAAGACTTCGAAATTTTTTTATGGAAAGTAGTTTAGTTGAGTTCTCTATATGTACAAAGTTTCAGATCGAAATTTCTGAAAAAATTGAAGCCTATAGAAAAATTATTCGATAGTTTGCTCAAATTCTTTTAAAATTTGTATGATAAATAAGGACGTTGCTAAGGTATCTATCACGTTCTATAAGAAGAGATATGCAAATTTTTACTCTTAAGCTTTATCCCTTCTTTCGTATTATGTTTCACAAATCTTTCAATAAAATCATATTGTAATATGAGCCAAATAAAATTGAGATAATTATAAAAAGTTCATATTACTCTTGTCATTAATAAACATCAATATAATTTCTACTCGTTCAATTAAACGTTTACTTTATTAAATTTATAATGAATTTTATATAAAAAAAAAAAAAAAAAAATTGTTAAGATTGAGCTCATATTTATATTTGCTTTTTTGTTTTTTGAAGTATAAGATGTTTTGTTGTAATACAACATATAAAATAAACAAGAACAAATAGATTAAACTAGATTAAATGAATGAGAAAAATTATTTAACACACAATTAAATTTAAGGTTCATGATAATAATAGAAAAAAGAAAAGCGAAAAGATCAATGAATTTCTATCTGATTTTTTTAAGTAAGATTTTAAACATTTGCTTCATCATATCCTTGTCTAGGTGTCATACGTTGTCCAACAGTCGGTTTTACATTATTCGATATAGGTCGTTGTTGTTGTTGTGTATGCATTGATATAACATTATCATAATTTGATCGATTACTATGACGTTCACGTTCTGTTATTGTTTGATCTTGTTCATTTGAACGTAATCCACCTGATGGTTTTGTTTCAACACCAGGTATTGTTATACGTTCATCTTTAGGTAAACGATCTTTTTCTGTTTCTTCATCTGTTTCACAATAGACACTAAATGTCCATAAATATGTTCCAACACGTACAGCCTTGAAAAAAAATAAATATTTACAGAAAAGAAAGAAATAAAAAACAATTTATTAATTAAAAATATATTTACAGTAAATACAGCAATACAAAAACCAATTAATGATCCACCAATAACATCTGTTGCATGATGTTTATAATCAGTAACACGTGATAAACATGTAAAAAAAGCAACAGCAACACATAAACATTGAAGAAATGGTTTTAAAAATTGAATACTTGGACAAACAAGTCGTGCTTCAAAATAAACCTAAAAAAATAAATTTCTTTTTTTTTGTTATTTTAGCAGAATAAAAAAACAAAATAATTTTGTATATATTTAGTATATTTACAAATAAAAATATAAATGCATATGTTGAATAACTTGAATGACCTGATGGAAATGATAATTTTGCTTCTTGAAGATCTCTGTCTGATACTGATGAATTACAATAATGATCCATTATATATTGTGGAATAGAAATACTACCACTTGCTGTTTGTACAGTTTTTGTACAATTAAGATTTGTCCAAATAGGATTACAAACAGTTAAATAATATGGTCTTAATCGACCAATTGTACCTATAAAAATACATCAATAATATTAAAAAAAAAATTTTCTTTTTTTTTTGTTAAAATTCTTACGTTTTCCAACTTCAGTTATAAGAAAACAAACAGCAATACCAAGAATAAAAAGAAATACTGTATGAAAGATTAATTTTACATAATCAATTTGTCGTTGTTTTAAGCTATGTCCACCTCGACCACGTCCACAATGAAATGGTCGAACAACCCAAAGTTCAACACAACAAAACTAAAAAAAAATAGATAGGTATTTGAATGTTTCCGCCTTTTCTTTTAAATATATATAAAACGTGCAATCGGCTATAAATTTTGTATAGAAGGCTTATAGTTTTTTAAGTACCTCATTGAAAACTATCGTATGTAGAAAGTTCGAACTCAAAACGGATGTTAATGTTAGGACGATTTCCTCGTAAGATAATCCATTAGATCAACTGATTTTTATATAATTATTTTTGTTTTGTTGAACATAGCAATAATGAACAAAACAATCAAATAGATTTCTAGTTCAGTATAGAATTTTTGATCAAAGATAAAATTTCAATATGAACTCAAAAATGCAGTCAAAGATGCATAGCATGACCTAATCAAGATCAATTTGTTTTAATTTCAATAATTAATATTCGAAAAATAATTCTCTATACAAAATTAAGAATCTGTAAGAGATCTTTAAAAATGAAGAATTTCATAGAATAGTGAAGAACGATATAGAATTCTTCGAATTAATTAATGAAAGGCTATTAAGTTCATATGAGTAATAAGTATTTATATTTTTATTGATTACTTACAATTATAATTGGACCAAGTCCTCCATAAATTGCTAAAAGCCACATTGGAATAGTATCCTGTCGAAATGGATATTGTATAGATGTATCATCACAAAAAAAGCCTCTTGGCACCGGCTTAATAAATAAATATATAAGACCAAATATAAGACATGCTAAAAGAAAGTTTTTATTTTTATTTTTTTTTTGTTCATGTTTTATAAAATAAATAAATCACACATACTTGTCAAAACTGCAAGAAAATCTAGAAGATTATATAAAATTCGTCGTCGTCTGCGTTTTTTTTGTTGATTATTTTCCTCTAGCCTATCTTCTGGCTTTGTTGTATCACCTCCCATTTTATCTACCAATAAATCAACTTCACTATTTGGTGCTGATTCTAAAATCAAAAAAAAAAAATTCTTTTTTTTTTTTTGCTTCGACGCTCTAAACAAAACATATGTAGAAATATAAACAAGCAGTCAAAACAATAGAATGTGCAAATGGATGTGTTAATCAAAAACAACAATCATAACATAAAAATACTTTTATTTTATCCGTATTATGCTTAAGTTGATAAAAATTAAGGAAAAAAAAAGACATTTTTTATTTCTCCTGTCGTCATCTTTTGTTCAGAAAAAAAAAAACATAACCTACTCGTCCGTCTCCAACATATTTTTTTTCTCATTCGCTCATTTCTTATGTTGTGTGGTAAAGAAGAAAAAAAAAAGACCATTGACTAAACTGTTCGTGTGTTCTAACGTGGCGAGTAAGCAAGAAAGCGAGCGAGCGAGCAAGCGGGTCTATATGCCATCCATTCTGTATAATAGAGCTATTGAAAGAAGAAAAAAAATATATGTAAGAAGAAGAAGAAGAACAACCTTGTCTTTGTATAAACCCTTATAGTTATTATTTGATGTCATCGGTTTCTATTGTGAATACAAAACGTTATTGAGTTGTATTAGTTAGATGTTTCTATTGAATGATTGTTATTTTTTTGGCAAAAAAAAGAAAATATGTTTGTTCGATGTAAATATTAACATAAAGTTTTGATGATATAATTAATCTTGTTTATCAATGTATTAAAAAAAAATATGTTAAACTATTGAATACTAATAACAGAAAACAAAAAAATACTAATAGTTTTCCTATTACAATCGATTATAAAATGTTCGTTTCTTTGTTTGATTTGATCAAACATTTTTTTTTTGTAAAGAAATTTATCCTATTATAATCTAATATAAAAATCTATGTTTAATGTATTATTCTATAGAAGATGTGTAAATAAAATTAAAAAGATTTTAGTTAAAATATTCTAATCTATAAAAGAAATCAGCGAGTAAAAATCATAATTAGTAATATTAGTATTGAATAGAAATTATTATTAGCTTTTTTTTTTTTTTAATCATTGTGTTCAGTTTCTCACCAACTCTTTTTTGATGATTAGATGTATGTTGTCGTTGTCCATTTGTATATTGTCGTTGTTCATCATTATAACGATATGAACGTGGTTTATCATATGTATTTGAAATATCATTATGAGAATATTGTATGAAACTTGATTTTTGTGGTGCTATTGGTCGAAAATTATTTTGATTTTGATTTTGTGAAGTAATTATATTTGTTTCAAGTGCATCATACAATGGATTATATTCTGGTGTACCTCGTACATGTAATGGATATTCATCAGGAACATACGATCGTTTTGAAGCTGAAGAGATGAACATTTTTGATCGGATATTAATAATGATTTACTAACAATCAAGAACTATTATTTTTCTTTTCTTTTCTCTCTATCTCTCTCTTATATATTTAATTAAATTAACGAAAAAAAAAAAAAAAAAAGGATAGCGTCAGAGCAGAAAACACAAGGACAAGAGATCGATGATCTTTATTCGTTTATGTACTTAGTTAAATGAAGATAATAAATCAAATTTAATTTGTATCTACTCACCTTGAGGAGTTTTATAATATTGAGATATAGTATAAACGACTGGTTTCATTTGTGATAAAATGAACTTGACTAGATTTTTTTATTTTGTCCTTTTGGTATATTTCTTTTTTTTACTATTATTAACGAACTAATGACATTCTACTAACGTCATTGGCACCATCCAATAGTTACTTTTGATAGCGTCAAACATTCACAATTTTTTTTTTTTTTATAACTCATACAATACCATGTACGAATCATATTTTGACATTTTCTAATGGTCTCTCTTATACCGCCTACAAATTATTTTGTTGTTTTATATGTTGTAAAAAATAGCCATGACCTTTTTTATTTTTTTTTTAAGTGTACGTGAAAGGTTTATTTATTTTGTTTCTCATAGAATATGATAACAAGAATAATTCATTTCGAAAATAGATTACATTACATCTATGATTATAATAATAAATAAACATTTCATTAAAATCATATGCAAATATTTAAATTTTCTAATGAATGTTATTAATCATTGATCATAAATATGAAAAATATTAAATTAAATTTTAAACTAATAAAATAATTATAAAACAATTTATTAAGCATACTTCGAAAATATAATAGTCCTACTCAAATATCTTTAGACTGTTTACGTATATATATATATATTCAATCATATGTAAAAGTAACAGCTGTACTCTTATATAATTCGTAACAATATTCGTCTACATTATCAATTTCATCAACTAACTTTCACTATGCATTAGTCAAAAAAACAAATGAACTTTATTTTTTTGTCAATTGTAATACAATCTTTCAATAAACTCAAGTCATATGAGATATGAATGAAATCTATCTGAATCGAACTAAATCTAAATACAATTTTTTTTTTCGTCTTACTATCTATTCTATTTATATATTAAAAAGATAAAAAAAAATTTCAAAGTGACTTCAATTTAAAAAAAAAGAAAGAATTTTTCTTTCGATAACAATTCAAATCATTACCTATTCTGAATGTTTCATTAGCGAAGTATTGTTGCTCGTATTTTCTATAAGTATGTTGTGTCATAAAAATGAAGATTTGTCTAATGTACTTTCAAATATTTAAGCGTTTCTAGAGAATTAAAAATTCTTTTGTAGAGGAAGTTGCATGAATGTTCGCGCTTCTAGACAAGAAAAAAAAATGGATAAAAAACTGTTACTAAGTCATCGAACGTTTTACAATATAACCCAAGAAAAAAAAAACACCAAAGATATTATTGAAGTTCTTTGTTTTTTTTGTTTACTTAGTAACCTAGTAGAATTATAGAAAAGAGAAAAAAAAAAAATTTGTTAGACCTTGAAATTCTTTGCGTTCTTTTTTTGTTAATTATTATTTTTGATAATAATTACTTCGAATATGACTTTTATTTCAATATTATTAGAATAAATCAATAATCTTATTATTCTAACGGAAGAATAATAAGATTTGATTTAATTAAATTCTATTGACAAGACTGAGAGATCAATGTTGCATTAAAAAAAAAAGTTCTTTTTTTTATTCCTCTTTCGAAAGAAATTCTAATCATATTCAATTGATTATGTATGTATCGATTAACATTTGCTTTTATTGTGATTTCGATAACAGAATACTAGATTAGAAATTTATTCTTTGAAGAAAAAAAAAAAAAAAAAACTTTATCAAATAATCAGCACAATTCATTTATCAATAAACAAATGCGATAGTCCAAAGTTCTTTGAAAATAAATTATCTTATCTATTTATTTTGAATGCATCATAAATAACAGATGTCTGTCAATCTGTAGTTAGTTAGATTATTAACGTTTCCTTAGATTTAGAGAATATTCATAAGCTTAACTCAATAAACTCTACTCATCGATAGAAATTGGATATAGAATTTTAGTAAAGACGGATGATTATGGGCATAAAAATTTTTTTTTTTTGAAATTTATTATAGATCATTTCTATTGAGAAAAATCGAACGGAAAATAGCAATCGCTTTTAATGCACTGTGTTACCCTTAATCCGCCATTGTTTGTTTTCTATTCTTAGATTTCCTATGTATTACAAATAGTGTCGTCTATTTGCTCTATCACATATTAATGATAAATATAAGTGAACACATTAAAAAAAAGAACAAAAGTTGTTCAGAATTATTTTTTTATCCAATATGATTATATCTAATATAATCATATTGGATAAAGTAAAGTGATAAATTATTATACTTTCCTCCGTCCTCAAAAAAAAAATAATAAAATTTAAACTATTTTTTATAATTTTTTTTTTGTTTTATTCGATTATTTTCTTTGATTATTGGATTATCATACCTGCTGTTCGAAACTGTTTTAAATTTGATCTGTTCGGCATGACATTCAAACTTTAATATGAATGATAGTAATCGAACAATTATTCTCAAGTCTTTTTTTTTTTTTTTTTTTTTTTTTTTGTTTCTCTCCTTGCCTCGAAAATGTGTCTGCACGCAATGCATTGAATCGATTGATATCAAATTCTGGCTTGCTTGCTGAACATACAATATGCATATATACAATAACAACTCAATATATATACATTGACACGGTCATTCAACACATGATCAGTGTTTGACAAATCATATTCTTGTTTTGTCTTTTTTTTCTCATTCTTATATGTATGAATATGGTTTACCTGACGTTTGTCGTGCACGTCCCATACCAGTGCGTATTTCGCCAATGGATATTGATGGCGAGTCATTTTGATTACTTTTATCAAATTTATGCATTGACTTTTAATGACGAATGATGTTAAAATGAAAATATATAAATAGAAGAGATGACTCGACCATATATATATATTTATATGTATGTGCTGTCGAAATTCAAATAATTAATTTGATTGACAGCGATAAAATGATCTACAATAATATAGCACAATTACTTTTGTATCTAAAAAGCTTTCTTCACATGGCTTGTTTTTTTTCTTTTTTTCGCTGCGGACTCTTTTTTTTTTATCTTTTCTTATAGAACTGGTTGGTGCTCGTTATATATTTTTGTGTTCTGCTTATGGCCTTGAGTGTTCTTGCACAATCCCGAGACAAGAACATGAATGACAAAAATAACTACAAAACAAAATATAGAGTGTCAACGATTTTCTTTTTCTCTTATATTCATAAAGTGTGAGCGTTTATAATTTACTTTTTTTTTTTGTGAAAGTTGAATAGGGTTTTTTTATTTAATGTGTACTGCAGCTCAAAAAGTACTTCTTGCTGAAACATGGAGTGAAGATGTTGATCCAACAGGTTGGTGGATGAGTGAAAAACTTGATGGTGTACGGTATGTTAATAAAATATGTTTACATTCTTTTATTGAGAAATATTTTCATTTCTAGAGCATATTGGAATGGAAGTAATTTTTATTCTCGTCAAGGAAATTTATTTCATGTACCAGATTTTTTCAAGGTTAGCCTTCCAAAAGTGCCGCTAGATGGAGAAATATGGTAGATATATTTCAATCATTTTTTTTTTTGTTATTTAATATTATTTATATAGGTGTGGACGTGGTCTTTTTCAAAAGTGTATCAGTATTGTGAAAAAACAAGCTAATAAAGTTATTCCTGATGATTATAAACTTTTGACATATTTAATTTTTGATGCACCAAGTCATGGTGGAAAATATGAAGATCGTGTTAAATGGTTACAAGCTAATATTCCACAAGATGATGATAAATGTTATGCTACAGTAGTTGGTATAAAAAAATGTCAAAGTCTTGCTGATCTTAAACAATGTTTAGCTGATGTAACTGCTGCTGGTGGTGAAGGTATTATGCTTCGTAAACCCGGAAGTCTTTATGAAAATAAACGTTCATCAACATTACTTAAAGTCAAAACTTTTTATGATGAAGGTAAAATAAAGCAAAATTAGTTCATAAGAAAAAAAAAAAGAATTTTTTTTGTTTCTTATTTTATAGAAGCTCTAGTCGTTGGTCATAAACCTGGTAAAGGTAATTGTACAGGAATGTTAGGTGCTTTGGAATGTAAATTACCTAATGGAAAACGATTTGATGTTGGCAGTGGATTTAATATGGATCAACGTCGAAAGCCACCGAAGATAGGTTCAGTTATAACATTTAAATTTCAAGAATTATCGAATTCTGGTGTTCCACGTTTTCCTGTATTTCTTCGATTTCGTACAGATTTAACATGGAATGATGTACTTGAAGCAGCGAAAACAAAAAAACCTATTAGTGTTACACAAAAAATTATACCATCTACAAAATTATCGAAACAACATTCGATATTATTTTCCGTCATTCCATCACGTGATGCAAAAACTGGTAAAAAAATTATTACATCCGATGATGAAGGTGAAGAATCAACAGCAACAGCAGCAATAACAACAACAACAACAACAGATACACGTGAAGTATGTCAATATGGTGAAAAATGTTATCGAACAAATCCTGATCATCTCAAACAATATCAACATCCATTATCAAGAAGAAAACGACAAATAACAAAAAGTAAAATAAAAACAAAATTACCATGTAAACTTGGTACAAAATGTAATCGACAAAGTTCAATACATTTAGCAACTTATTCTCATCCATCAAAATCTCAATCAGATGATCCATTAGATATATCAGCTCATGAAGAAATACTTAATCCACATGAATTAATCGAATCTGAAGAACCTGCATCACCAACAACAACAGATAATTTACTTGTCAAAGATAAAAACAAAGGTCGTCAATTTAATGATGATGATGATAACGATAATAATGACAAGGATAATGATGATGAACAACAGAGTAAAACACGTACAAAAACAAATAAACGAAAACAAAATCTTCAAGAAAAATCAACAAGAAAACGTATTAAAAAATCTTAAAAATATTCAATCTATATATATATATATATATTTATAAAGACAAATACTTTAGTTTATTTTATTTATCATTACTCTTCAAAACAAAAGAATAAAATTTAGTATTCATCTCTTTAATTGAGATTCTATACATACACACATAAATAAATAAATAAATAAATATATATATTCAAACAAAAATTTAATAAGTTAATTAAATAGGACAACAAAAACAAAAAATAAATAAATTAATAAATAAATATGTATAGACGAGAAAAAAAAGAAACCATTTTTGATTTTGTTGTATTTTCGTTTTAATTAAAATATTTTTTTTGTTTTTGTTTTCTTCTACTAGACAATGATTGTCATCAGACAGTAGTAATAATTCTTATGTACAAATAAAAATTTTAAACAACAACGTAACAAAACAACATACGGGAACCATACATAAGACGACAGGTGACTAGAGTGCATAGAAAATATTCTTTCTTTTTTTGACTGTGCACAGTATAATAATAAGGACAAAAGTGCGGAAAAATAAAATCAACAAAACACAGGGCTATTGGCGAAATTCTATTCACTGTCATACCTGAAAATAAAAAGAAGAATAAATAATTGAATAGATAAAATACGTTTTTTTTTGTTTTTGTTTTCATTACTGTTTCTTTTGTATTAGTAGGTTTTTCATTTATTGTAAAATTTATTTTTCGTTTATATGTAACATCACTAACACTTGATGGTGATCTTTCACGCCATGTTTCAATTTTTGATGATGATAATTCATCTGGTATTGTTGTTGTTGTTTCATTTATTGAACTATGTTCATAAACTGTCATTAAACTATTTGCTTTACGATTTAATTGATTTCGATAATCTTTATCTAATGAAAGATTTAAATCAAAACGATTTGTTGTTGATAATAATGGTTCATTAACATTGGAATGAAGTACAACATTAGGAATTGTTACTGATAATGATGATGTTCGTTGATTTGAAATTTCATTTGTTAATGGTGAAATATTATGTAATAAAGTTGATGAATCACGTGGTGTTATTGATATTGGTAATTGAAAATCACCTAATTCTTCATCATGTTCATCACCACTTATATTAGCATTATGAGTATTTTTACGTTCCTTAAAAAATAAAAAATATTTTAGAAAAATTTTTGGATTGATAGATTTAAATAATAGATATAAAAACAAAAAAAAAGCAACAACCTTGTGATTAAATGTTAATTTTATCTATTATAGAAAATCTTGTTTCATTAATAATTTAGATCATATAAAAATTTGATTTATTGATAATTTGAATTTGAAAACTTTCTTTTGATTAGGACAAAAAAAAAAAACAGAACTAATTCATATTTGATTATTATAAGATTATTATCTAAAAAAAATATATGTCAAATATATTAGTTATAGAATATAACTAATGGATAAAAAAGTATTTCGCACCTATTATAATAATTATATTTGACAGATAGTAATAACAAAGACTATAATATATACATAAAATTCTTTTTCTCCATAAAAATGACATTGAATAAATATATTGTTTTGACATATTATTATTGGCTTCGATAATGAATATCTGGGCTTTTTTGTTGCAGCGCTAAAGATGGTCGTAATGGATCTATTATAATTTTATTCTAATATCTTTTACTATCCTAAAATATTTCATATTCGAAATTTTCTCATGTATAAAAGTTAATTTACACTTTCAACAAGGAAATACTAGTCGTACAATTAACTAATTTTATTAGGAACTGTGCTCGTGCAAATTTATATATCATAAATCGATTTTTCACATGATCTGAGCAAAAAAAGAAAAAATAAAGTTAAAGTACAATCTAAAGTATTCAAGACTTTTTTTGTTTTTTTTATAATTCATCAAATAAATATTAATTTGATTGAAAAGTTATTTAACATCTAAAGAGATTCTCACGTTAATCTATTAGAATTTTGAATTTACCGTATTAATTTTATATGAAGTTTTTCTTCGTCTTCGTCCTCGACAACACCACCATGCTCGAGGATTTAATAATAATTGACTATGTCGTGAACCAAAACGTGCTAAACCTGCAAGAGCACTACCACCTGGTACAAGACTTGTTCCAGCACCACTAGTCATTAATACATCTGGACCCATTTCAACAAATTCACGATCCTTAAAAAAATGAAGACAAAAAAAAAACAATTAATTTTTTTTTTTTTAATGCTTCACATACAGTTGTTAATTCAAGACAACGAAGTAAATGATGATGTTGTAATTCAAATGGATTAACAATATTTTTATCAATAGATGTATTTGTATCATCAAGATTTTGTTCACGACGTTTTTTTGCTGCTACAAATGCATTACTTGTTGCATTACGTGCTAAACGTATACGTGTTTGACGTGCTTTTCGTTGAGCTTTCATTTTATCTGCTCGTTGACTTTGATGATAAATACGACTAAAATTTGATACAATAACAGGTACAGGAAGAGCTATGACAAGTACACCACTTAAACTGCATACACCACCAACAAGTTTTCCTGCCCTATATTAATAATACATCATTTTTCATATATATATATATTTATTAAACTTACCAAGTTTTTGGAACCATATCACCATATCTAAAAAGAAAAAAAAATAAAAGATAAATTATATAATAAACACAAAATAATTTACCCAAGTGTTGTCATTGTAACAATTGTATACCAAAAAGCAGCTGGTATAGATGTAAATTTTGTATTAATAACAGTTTTTTCAGCATAATACATAACAGTAGCAAATATAATAATTGCCATTGTTAATGAAAATAATAAAAATCCAAGTTCACTTGCACAACTTTTTAATGTATAACCTAATACTCTTAAACCTTGACTATGACGTGAAAATTTAAATATACGAAAAACACGAAATACACGTAGAGTAACAAATGCTCCACTAACTTCACCTTTATGTGGCATAAATAAACTAATATAATATGGCATTATAGCAACAACATCAATAACAGACTAAATAAGAAATGAAAAAAAAAAAAAACCAAATTTATTTTATTTATTTCATTCTATTTTTTTGGATACTTCTTAATAAATATTCTCACCATAACAGATCGAACAAATTTTAAACGATCAGGTGCAGCATATAAACGAAGAAAATATTCAACAGTAAATATCATAACACAAGCCGTATCAAGACAAAAAAATTGTCGTGCAAAACGTTCACCACATGATCTTGGATAACCTGTTTCAGGATCTAATCCACAAGCAACTGTATCTAATACATTAGCAATAACACTAACAGCTATAAAAAATCCAGTTACATAATAAAATACAGATGCCATTGTTGATACTTGAGGATTTTCAAATGCACGCCACATTGTTTCACGTAATGATTGTGGTTTTGGTTGAATTTTATCTTCATCTTCATGTAGACGATCATCAAGAAGTCTTTCTGTATTTTCACGTTTACGATCTCGATAATCTTCATAACAACAATCACCAATTATATCAGGTAATATACCAAAAAAAGCTAATTCTTCATCATATGCAGCAATACATTCATGTTTTGGATAATGTAATTTACCCGTACGATAAAAATTTAATATAACACGAAATACATCAGGATCACGATCAAAAAAATATTCACGTGTATCTTCATCATAGAAAAATTCTTTTTCATTTGAACCTAATAATGAATCAGGATATTTTTCTAATGTTGAACGCCAACATTCAAAACGACGACCACTAACATTAATTATTATTTTTTCATCACAACGACGTTCACCAACACTTGTTGTTGTTGCTGATGTTATTGATGTTGATGGTGATGATGGTGATACACCATTTGTTGTTGTACGAAATGGTGGTGGTGGTAATGGATGTTTTGCTAATGGTACCCAACCAATAGCTGCTGCTCGAGCAAATGGAAGCCATGCAGCTACACTAGCCATTTTATTTTAGTTTTTTCTCTCGATTTTTGTTTTATCTTGTTTTAATTAACCTATGTCTTTACAAAAAAAGAAACATCATCAAAGTTTAGTGATATTTTTGTCTTACTCGAAAACAAAAAAAAAACATGTATACAATAAGAGAAATCTTTTGAATATCATGTGTAGCTATGGGGTATCCGTCTCTAGTTACAAGCTAACCTTGATATAGTTTCTTGTTGGCTAAGGACATATATATATACTGAAGTAGAATTTTTCTTCAACAATCAAAAGTCTAAGTATTGTATCAATTTTAATGTTGATAAATAATAGAAACCTTTAGATGTTTGGTCAAGTGATTTATATTTTTCCGATTTTAATTAATGTTTTATTAATAAATAAGAAAATTGAACTTAAGGTGTTATTTCAATCTTTTGAAAAGTAGTAAATTTTTACCGAACAAAATTTGTTCTATTGAATGAGACCTTCGAGCTTTCTATGTCATGCATTGTGTCAATATTATAACGCTTTGAGTATTAATACATTCAGTAAAAGGAAAAAAGAATAGCTGGAGAATTATAACTAAAGCTAATTCTCGAAACAAAAATGTTGTAACATTCACACAATGCATTTTAGAGAATGCCGGAAGGTCTCGTTAAATAGAATTAACTCTATTCTATAAAATGTTCTATTTTTCAAAGATTTTCAAGTATCGTCTTAAAGCTCAATATTACTTAATACAAAAATTAGAAAAGAAAAAAAAAACAATTTAAAAAAACTTTATAAAATTCAAAAAAAAAGAAATAATTCTTAACTAATTATAATTAATATTTAATTATTATAACTGATAATATTTCAAAAACATATATATATATATGTATCAAAATGTAATCAATTCAAATAGTATCTGAAAATTTATGTGAAATACGTTTGTTTTTTTTTTTATTAATAGAAAAATGTCAAAACTGATTAAATATTAAAAATATGTTTAACTTTTGACTGTTGTAAAAAACAAAAAAAAAATTCTATTTTAATATTTGTTCTTGACAAGCACAAACAAGTAGTAACTAGAAATCCTACCATATGTCTACACACGGTTTTCGCGAATTAAAACTTTTTATAGTCAATTTTTTTTTTAAATTTCTTAATAATTGAATATATTTTTATTCGTCTGATTTTCCATTAGTTAATTTATCAAATAGAATGATTTCCTTTTCTTTTTTCTTTCTAAGTCATTTCTTTTATTTTCTTGACTAGATGTGTCGTTTTTTTTATACGCATTAATTTTGTGTACGACTAATATTAATCGTATAGAAACAAGAAAGAAAGAAGAGGAAGAGAGAGTGAGAGAGAGACAAAGAGAAGACGAAAGAAACAAGACCGAGAATAAAAATATTGATATTTGCTAATTAACAATACAAACCTACTGTGCGCCTATGCGCACCTCACTACGTCACTTGTAACAATGCACGGTGTGTTGATGAATTGATTTGATGGTTATTTTTATTTGACAAAACATTAAATTGAACAAAAATTATAAAAAGCCAGATGGTCGCCGTCTATCAACATCACGTCCCTTGTAGTATAGTATATATGTATCTTAAAAAAAACAGTCAAAAACAGAGAAGATGTAGAGCGTTATAAGGAATTCAAGCGAAAGACAACATATCTCTCTTTTAATATTAGCAATTAGACACACATACACACACACAAACAAAAGAAAATCAATCGATGTATGTGCATACGTTTGTATACGCTCATATGAGTTAGATGTTAAGAGACGGACAATAGAGTGTAAAAAAGCAAAAACGAAGACGACAACAATGACGAAGAAGAAGAAGAAGAAGAAGAAGAAGAAGAATGAAAAGACAAGAAATTCCACAACCACCCTGGTGAGTGTCAATTCAGAGAGACACTAAAGCCGCCAGCAACAGCATACAAAGAAAGACGATGCAAGATAGAACATTAAGACGACGAACAAGCACATGAGGATAGAGAGAAACAACTCTCGTTGTGGATAGAAGAAAAGCGACAAGATATCTCAATCAATGTTATATGTGTGTGTGCTGTGCTGCGCATCGAGCGCGTGTCGTAAAGAAGGATTGGAGAGACCTTTGTGTATGTTCCATTATGATTATTTTCCGGTAGTCTCGTTTTTCTACTACTACTGCTGTGGCTGCTGTAGTTACTACTACTATAGCTACATCGTCGTCTTCTCATCAGGAACGACAACCTTCAAGCCACATGTGCCTATTCTTCTCTCTCTCTCACACTCACTCACTCTCTCTCTCTCTCTCTTGCTATCCATCTTGTCGTCGAATGTTCAACCAAAGCAAGCGAGTGAACTGATTTCTTCTTGTTCTTCTTCTTTCTTTTTTTTTGTTTTTTCTATTTCTCATTTTTTTTTCTTTTGGTCGTTTTTGCTGTTCCATATACTCGTCATCGACTAGAGTCGAGTGGTGTTAGTGGTTCTTGACGCTTAACGATAATTTTGATTGTTGAACATGCATTAGCGTTATCAAGTAAAATATAATCTATGTGTCCACTTATATATGTAACACAAAATTAATCGTAATTTTCATCATATATAATTATCAAAATTAATGTTCAAATAAAAATAAAGAAATAAGTGAATGATTACATATTGAAATAATAATAATAATAGTAACAGCAGTAGTACTCACTAATAGAAACAGGAGTATCATCATTTGTTTACCATCGAACAAGAAAAATCAACGAAGACACGAGACACTTAAATCTTTTTATTTTTATCTTGTCTGTTGTTCCAGATGCTCTTCTTTGCAAACGAATTAAATAACAAGAGCTTATTAAAGACTAAAGTACTAATACTCTAAATTAGACAAAATACCGTCTGATGTTTGTATAGGTACTTTGACATGTATGATGTTTTAACTAATACTCTAATTATATGATAAGAGTACTTGCTATGACTAACGCCCTAGAGATACCAATAGCTGTAATGATAGTGAAATCATAACAACAACAACAAACAGTATGTCATCGAAGAACAACAGCAATGACAACAATATCACCACTTTTGCAAAACAGTTGGATGAATGTCTGTATGTTCGTAACAGTATGTCATTATATATATATGCAGAATGGGTCTAGTCTCATCTCTCTTGTTATACTTCGTATGGCCTTTTCGATGAATGAATGGATGAATGCAAGAATGGATAGTCTTATGTATGTATATACATACGTACATAAATATAAATATAATAATTTAATGTATATCTTAGTCAAGGTCTGACTTTTGCCCCTGGTTGTTGTTTTGGTTTTTTTCATCTTTTGCTTTCGTCATTTCTAATTCGATCGCTAGCTTCTGATGTATACACAGTACAATTTATCAATCAATCAATCATAATCACGCAATTTGGCCGTTAGCGTTTTCAACATTTTACTTGTTCAGAATGTAACTTCTCGTTATATTTCATCTAATTGTTCGCATACTCACGCACATATATATATAGTTAGTGAAAATCAATAAAAAAGCTAACGGAATAGAATGAACAGTCAATCATTCAATTAATCATTGTGTTCTCTTTTTTCCCCTCTTGCTCTTCTGTTTTTCTGCTTGTTACTTGTTACTCGTAGTCAGTAATATGAGATAGAAATGAAAACGGTCGCGAGCGGCCAACTATACTTATGAATCTCAAGAGAATTTTAACTGGGAATTTGTGCTCTCTATTTGTTGTATGACAAGGATGACAGAGGACAGAGAGAGTGAGTGAGTGAGCAACTAAAAGTAACATCGTTTAATCAGATACTGATCATTATTAATTTTTCAAATGAAATTCAAGTTCAAGAAACTAAATATTCGTAACTAATTTGTTGACATGCTACTTCTCGTGATAGGAATATCTTATGACGTCGATAATGTACTTGAACATGTTAATATAAATTATATAATTAGGTTAGTTCGAAACGAATAGAAAACAATCATTAAATATCAGGTGATTAAAAAATAGAAAAATAATACATAATTGATGTATGTACTTAGTCAATATAAATACAACTTACTCGTCATTTATTTTATTCTTAACTATTAGTAGTAGTACTATTTTTGTTTCTTATTTCACTAAGCATATACTTACTTACGTCAATGCCATTTCTTATTGTACTCGTTCACTCTTTTTCTTTTTTTTTTTGCTTTTTCTTTTATTACATTATTGAGATATATTTTTTTTTTGAGATAGATAGTTGAAAGAGAGAGAGAGAGAGAGAAAAAAAGAAGCGATTAGGATGAATACGAAACGTGCATTCATTCCCGATCTAAATCGAGCCTAATTTATCGAGAAAGGATTAGACGAAGCGTACTTAATACAAGTGAGATGCCAATCGCACTCGAACAAGTAACATTAAACAAGTGTTACTATTGAAAATATGAATACAAGAAGAGAGAGAGAGAGAGAGAAGAAAAAAAAACGGAGAGTTAATAATATCCATAACAATAAAAAATGTCAATGCAACGGAAGCATATATATATATGAAAATAGCTATGATTGATTAAACTGTATTCAAGTGACCTCTATGAAACTCTATTGAAACAATTGGTATATCATACATAAGCAAAGAAATATTCTTGTTGTCGTTAGTAGCAACGTTTTTATATACATTGATTTTAGCGAAATAAAATTTATATAGAGAATTGTTTGTTTATTTGGTTTTTTCTAATAACAATATGTCTTTATAGTTCTCCGCAATTATTTAATTCTTTTTTTTTTACTGTTTTTTTTGATGTCACAAAATTCAGGACCGTTTCTTGTTTCTTCACATGGACCACCAGGTTTTCATCCACGATTACCATTATCATCATCAACACCAGCATTAAAACGTACAAGTAATGGTCCATTATCAATTGGTAATCCACCAAATACATCTATCAATACAAATATGAATGTTTCAACATCATCTCCATTAATGCGTTCAAGTAATTCAATGGGAACTTTAAAATCAACAAATATTAATATGAATCCATTGGATAAATCAAATACAATGCCTTATTCATCTCGTTATACACGTAAACCTTGGCCAATGTCACGTAATATTCATGGTATATACATATATATATAAATATCCTTAAATAATTAAAAATTTTCTAATTCTAGAGAAAAATATTCGTGGATATGATGAACATGAACTTCCATATAATCGTCCTGGTTTACCAAGTCATAATGTTCCACCACCACCACCACCACCATCATCATCATCTGATAATATTAATAATTCATCATTTACAATTGAACCAGCAACAGATGATGATGAAGGTGATGATATTATTTTTTCTTCACGTCATATGGCTGCTGCACGTTTTCAACGTAATCAACGTTTATTATGTGAAATATTTAATGAAGTATGTATACCTGATTTACGATCAAATATAAATGTTGATCGTATATTAACATTACGTCGACAAGTTGATGCACTTAAAACACATCGTGAAACATTTGAAAAAGATTTAAATGAATTAGAAGAAAAACATGTAGAAAAAAAACGAAAATTTTTAGAAACTAGTGAAAAATTTTATCATGAATATAATGATGCATCATCAACAAATTTAAGTCAAGAAAAAATTAATGAAATTTTACAAAAATATGAAGCAATAGAAAAATTACAAAAAGAAAAACAATTAATTTTACAACAACAACAACAACAACAGCAACAACAACAAGTTGTTGCAACACCACCACCACCACCCCAACCTCAACCCCAACCCCCACCACCACTTCCAACAACAGTATCTCAACCAATAGCACCTCCAGTTATGAAAACTGAACCTGTACCAATCGTTGAAGTTCCACAACAACAAACACCCACACCTCCACCACCTCCTGTTCAAATTCAATTACCTCCTTCACAACCTGTTCCACCATCATTACCACCTATTCAACCTGCACCACCTTCATTACCACCAGCTCAACATTTACCACCTTCATTACCACCTGTTCAGTCTGTACCATCGGCATTACCACCTCCTCAATCTATACCAAGCCAATTACCACCATCTCAACCATTACCTAGTCAATTACCCTCATCACAACCTGTTCAATCTCAAATACCATCTTCTCAACCTGTACAACCTCAATTACCCCTACCACCACAACCTTCTGTTATGCCACAAGTACCGCCACCACCACAGCTACAACAACAACAACCAACAACAGCACCTCAAGGTTATCCAATGATGCATTCAGTAGGTGGTTATCCACCAGTTCCTGGTTATGTTCATGCTCAACAATCTCAATATCGACCACCAATGAATCAACGATCAGCACCGTATCCATCGAATGTTCAATGGCAACAACAACAGCAACAACAACAACAACAATGGCAAGCAAATGCATACGGTAAATATTAAACTAAGCAATTTGTAGTCTGTATACAATTGTAATACGGTGCTATGTAAATTATTGTATCTCTTCATAATTTGACCTGTATTATATATTTTAATCAAATATTATTTTATTTTAAATAGATTCTCGTTATTACAATCCATATCCACCTAATGTTCAATGGCAACAACAACAATGGCCACCAGCTCAACCTCCACAATCGATGGGTATTGTATCACAACAACCACCATCACAAATGCGTGGTCCTCCTCATCAACAACAACCACCACCACCACAAATGTATGCTAATGGTGTTCATTATGGATATGGTGGTACAAATGCTGGATGGAATCCTAATGCACATCCATCACAACAATATGGTTATCCACAAAATCCATCTTATGATCCAACACTTGTATCAGCACCACAACAACAATATTATCCACCACAAATGCATAATCCTCCACAAGGTTATGATTATGGTCCACCACCACCACCATCTCAACAACAACTACCACCTCAATAAACATATAAAATATACTGAGAATAATTTGTTTCATAAAATAGTTTTTGTTTTATTCGTTTTTAATATGTGTACAACTATTTGTTTTGTATATGTTAATTAATCTATGTGTCGAAAACAAAAAAACATCTTTTTAGATATAATTTATATACAAAATGTCAACACTTCGACCTGGTCTTGCTTTAGTACCAAGAATAATTGGTCGTCGACAATTTAGTTTAAGTCAACGTATGCGTTTACAAGATAATTTTGATACTGAATGTGTACCTGGTGCAAGTGTTCCATTTGATAGTAAAAGATTATTTTTCTTTTTTTTGTAATTAGAAGAAAAAAACAAAAAACAAAAAAAATTTTTTTTTTTGTTTTATTTAGCAAATAATAAATGGGGTTTAGCTATAAAAATGGTTCTCTACGTATCATCAGCTGTTGCTGTTCCATTCTTTGCTATGCGTTGGCAATTACTTAAAAAACGTGCTGGTTAAAAAATCACACAAACAAAACATTTCAATCGTCCATCTTTTTTCTTTTTTTGTTCCTGTATCCTTTTCCTATAGACATAAAAATATAAAACATTTTTCCTAGTTAGAACAATAAAAGATATTCTTTGTCATGTCCTTCTTCTCTTTCCAAAAAAAAAATTTTTTTTTTTTTTTTTTTTTTTTTTTTTTTGTATTTCAGATGTCATTATCATCATCATCATCATCATCAGGTTATTATTTTGTTATTGTTGGTCATGCTGATCAAGTTGTCTATGAAATAGAATTAGGTGTTTCATCAAGTGGACAAACAATAGATAATCGTCATTTAAATCAATTTATAGCACATGCTGCACTTGATCTTGTTGATGAAGCTATGTGGCGTAATACAACAACATATTTAAAACAAGTTGATAAATTTAATGAATGGAATGTATCAGCATATGTTACAGCTGGTGGTCTTAGATTTTTATTTTTATATGAACATTTACCACGTTCAGGTGAAGATGGTTTAAAAAATTTTCTTACTGAAGTTTATGAAACATATGTTAAATTATTACTTAATCCATTTTATATACCAGATAAACCAATACGATCAGCAGCATTTGATAAAAAAATTCAAACTATAGCACGAAAATGGAATTTATGATAAGAAAACAAAAAAATAAAATAAATAAATAAATAAAAGAAACTATTTATATATATATATATAAAATATGTGATTTTGCAATAGAATTATTTATATTTTTTTGTAATGATTTTCTTTTTGTAGATTGTTAATAAAAAAAAAGAAAAAAAAAAATTCATGAGCTATGCCAAAACAATCTTTCCTTATCATACAGGTGTTATTGGTGATCTTGATTTACAAGTAGATGATATTATTGAGGTAAATCGAAACATAGAAAAAAAAAAAAATTCATATTAACTATATGATATTTTTGTTTTTTTTGATTCGATCAAATATTTTATGAGAAATCAAAATTTCTTTGAGATTCTCTTTTTGTTGTTTTCATTTAAGTTCTCTGAAGAAAAATTAATATAAATGCATGGCTAAGGTCAGATCTTTTAATGTTTTTTTTTTGATTATACATCGCTTCATGATAGTCAATGGCTTTATTAGTATAATATCAGAAAGAATTTTTATAAATAGATGACTATTTTTTTGAGACTTGTCATTCTTTTTCTATGCATAATAAAAGGTAAGAAATTAGAAACAAAAAAGAGAGAGGGTATTATAATCTTAGAGAATTTTATGTTACCTTTTAGACTTCTATTTGTTAAATATCTATTGAAAATATTATGATATAGATTTAAATGTACTCGACTTAGAGAACGATTTTTGAGGAAAATTTTTATACAACAAAAATAGTTATATTAACTTTTTTTTTTGTAATTTTTTCACATGTTTAAGATTACAAGCTTGCTAAATCAAAATGCTTAATAATTTCATTATTATAAAAAAGATTTTCTTGAAAAAAAAAACAAAAAATTTATTCTTTCAGGTATTAGAACAAGTTGATCAAAATTGGTTACGTGGTAAAATAAATGATCAAATTGGTCTTGTACCATGTAAATTTGTTGAATGTCTTCCAACAGTAAATATTAATCAAAATCAATCCGTGTATATTGCACATACAGATTATCGTTCAGATCATCAAGGTGATTTACAATTTCATCGAGGTAAATTTACAAAATAAACTCTCAATATATATTTTATCATATAATATGTTTCCTTTTTTTTTTATTTTAGGTGATCGTATAATTGTTAATGAAACTTTACCTAATGGATGGTTTCGTGGATCACTTGATTTTAATTTACCTGGTACAACTTATAGACCAACAGGTATTTTTCCAAGTACATTTGTTACATTAGTAAAATCAAATTCAAACAGTACTAATCAGAATGGTATATTTTTCTTTTCTACTTGTAAAAACAAAAGTTAATATATAAAATTTTTTGTTTTGTTTTTGTTTATATTGTATAGAAACTCAAGTATCGTCTAGTCAAAATAATCTTTTATTATTTGATGAAAGTCCTATAAAATTTGTTCGAGTCATATGTGATATAAAACCGAGTGGATCAAATGAATTAGGTTGTTTTGAAGATGAAGTTCTTGCTGTTATTGAAGGTGATATTAATCAAAGTGAATGGTTAATTGTTAAAAATGCATTTAATTCAATTGGACGTATTAAACGTATATTTGTTGAACCTATTGATGATCGACAAAGTGATGATGAAAACAATAATCTTTTATTTGTACCTAATATTAATTCTAATCAATATAAAAAATCAGATAAAAATAGTTTAGATTCAATACAAGAACTTGTTGAAAAAGAATTTGAAAAATTAATGAAAAATGATAATAAAAAAGAACAAGGTGAGAATTTTTTTTTTTTTTGTATTTAGTACTTAATAAAAAAAATAACTTAGATATGAACTGTAATGAATAAATTTAATTCATTTGATGAATTATTTTTTATTTTTGAAAGTGCTGAATGTTAATAATTCACTTTTATTTTCATATTAAATGATCCCCTAAAACTCTTTTTAAGATTATTGTTCATATTATTTTATTTTAACTGTAGACATTCTTCTCTCCCTCTCTCTCTCTCTCTGTTATTGATTATTCGATTACCGTAAGCTGTTACATTTTTTTTTTCGCTTTTTATTATACAATAAATGTGTCGTATATTTACCATTCGCCCTCCTACAATGTCTATGTACTTATACTAATCTAATAGAACGATAATAATTATTCTTCTTTAACATAGTTTTACATAGAAAATACTAAATGAGATGTGTACTCTAGAATGGACGTGCCATTCGACGACTAATAGTGTCCAGTTTAACCTTCAAAATCGTGCAAACAAAAACAGATCAAACTATCACATATTATTAATCAGTTTGTGTCTCAATCTTTTTTTGTCTCCTTTTTTTCTTTTCGAACATCGGTCATCTACTTCAGTATATATGTGGTGATGGTTGGATGAACTACTAGCTTAGTAGAATTGTATACATTGTTTTTTGCTCTTAGTTGCTTTTTTTTTCTCCTTTCTTTCTTACTTATTCGTTCACCTTTCGTCTTCTGACAACGACCGCATCACTTTCTATGAAACAATAAGAGAGGACACAGCTTGTAATTAATGTTTTATTACACTAGTACTATATATCAAGAAAAAAAGAAAAATTTGTCATTTTTGACAAACATTGATATATTGAAATAAAATATAGATTAAATAATGAATTTGGATATACATTCTTCTCAATTAAGTCTTCGTTCATTATCTTATTATCCAACAAATATACCAATAAACAATAATATTGATCAACATAAATTATCATATTTTCGTCGAATACAAAAAAATTGTTGTTGTCATGGAACAAGAAGATTATCATCATCTTGTTTTAAATGTTTTCGATTTTGTATTCCGACAAAATATAAATGTGAGTTTGAATATTTATTTTCTTTTCTTAATATACGTAACAAAAGTCTTTAGCTCGAAGTATAAAATGCAAGTAGGTTATAAATGTTCTGTATTATTTTGCCTCAATATATCTGATTATGCAATATAATTGTATAAACAAACACTGAAAAAAGAAAAAAAAAAGAAAGATTTTTAGAAAAACGCCTTCATCTTGCGTCATCTTATTCCAAATTTTTATATTTCAATAGAACATATGATATATTCTTCGAGTTTGATTGTAGTATGCATGTACGATAATTGCAACTATTAACATGAACATGACTATTGCAGCACAACAGAAAGGAAAGTGAACAGAACAAGAATGATAGGAGTTTGATATGTACATTATATGTGTACAGAGGATTCTTTTTTTTTTTTCTTCTCTTCTCTTTGTATTGACCCTATCCGTGATTGCATTAGATCTAGTCGAACGTGCCTGCCTTCATTTCTTCCTGGACGGTTCCCCCTTTTTTCCTCTCTTTCTCTCGGTTTTTTTTTCTCATTTACCTACCAGTAAAACGAATAGTAATGTTGTTCAGTTCTAACACATACATACATACAGGCATATATATATATTTATAATTGACAATGAATACAAGAAGTAAAAAAAAAATGACTCCTTAAAAAAAAAAAATGAACACTTGTATTGATTGTTGTTATTGTTGTCGTTATTATCATTTATCGACATATCCTTTTTATACTTCTACATGGCATCCATGTATGTAAAAGTTTTTATTATATTTTTTTTTGCTTGATAATTAATGAATAAAAAAAAAATAAAATAAAATTTAAACTTTCTATGTCATTTTTTTCTTCTTCTTAGCTCATTTTACATCTCCACCACAACCATCTATTCCTACTGTTTATAATTCTTCACAAATAAATTATTCTCAACAATATCCATATTCATTAAGATCAAGTTATATTAATTCAAATAATAATAATAATAATAATAATAATACTCTTGATGTACAATCACTTTATAAATCAATACCATTAAATCATTTTTCAACTAATAATCAATATATTTTTACATCAACTACAAAAAATATTTCCAACGTATGTCATACACCATCAACAACATCATCAATTTCATCTTTTGATGATCCACCACCTGTTAAACCACGTCTTTCTCTTCGACCACAGTTGCCACCACCTCCACCACCGCCATCATTATATGTTCCAACATTTTCTTCATCAATGCCACCATTAAGAGGTCCAACACGACCAGCACCAAAACCACCAATACAAACTAAAATTGAACCACAACAGCAACAGGCAAGTCAATTATATTACATAAGAAGTATATATTAACTTTAAATTATATCTATTATAGATATCATATCGTACAATAAATAATCCATTTGAGAAAAATTCAAGTCATGATGAAACATTATCAACACGTGATAGTTGTGATACTGAATCATCATCAACAAGAACAGATTTTTTTGATATAGAATTGCAAAATTTACATAGTAAGAAAAATTTTATAAGAAATTTTTTCAATTATTCTTTTATATTTATTTTTTGACATTTAAGATCAATTATTAATTGATGATCAAGTTGATAAAACTGATATAAAGTAAAGTTTAAAAAAAAAAACAAATCTTTCTCTGAGATTGTAAATTTCTTTTTACAAAAATATTCTTTATAGTATTATTCAACGACGTCGACAACATGCAATTAGTGAATTATTATCAACTGAACGAGATTATATTCGTGATCTTGATTTACTTATTGAAACATTTCTTAATACAAATTCAATTTCATGTGTAAGATTTTTTTTTTAAATAAATAAATAATTATTTTATTTTATAATATTTAGCCGGATAGTGTAAATAAAAAACTTCTATTTGGTAATATACATGATATAAATGATTTATCACATCGTCTTCTTAATCAACTTGAATTAGAATATACAAAAATTCAACAAAATGATGATGCACATTGTTGTATTGGACAAATTTTTAATAATTTAATAGAACAATTAAAAAGTATTTATGCTGAATATTGTCGAAATCATGAATGGGTACATATTTATTTACGTAAGGTAAGATTGTATCCATTTTTATTCTGATACAAACAAAAAAAAAAAAAAATCTTAAAAATAATTTTAGCATGGAAATGATGAAAAACTTCAAAAATATCTTCAAGATGGTCTTTGTAGAATTCGTCTTCAAAAATCAAATATTTTTGATATTTCAGCTCTTCTATTATGTCCAATTCAACGTATTGTTCGATATCCACTTATATTAAATGAATTATTCAAAGTATTTTTACTTCACAAAAAAAAAGAAAGAAAAAGATCTGAAGGTTAATCTATATTTTATTTCATTATAGAATACTAGTACTGATCATATCGATTATATACATCTAAAAGAAGCTATTTCAAATTTAATATCAATGGTTGATTTTATCAATGAATATAAACGACGAAAAGAAATTGGTATGTATGTGTGTTCAAGCACATTCATATTATGTTTATTTTGAGTAGTAAAATATCCTTGTGAACAAGTCAAAGAGGAAAAGAACCAGGGACAAATAATGTTACACAAAAAAAACGAGAGAGAGAGAGAGAGAGAGAGAGAGAGAGAGAGAGAGAGAGAGAG